GCATGTATGTATGTGTGTATGTACATATACACACACATATGTATATATATATATACATACGTATATATGTATATGTGCATGTACAAAGTTTGTGTAGATAGAGACAATAATATAGGTGGCCTGTACAAACACATTTGCATGTTGATGTCTTTGGGGTTTCAGGCTTTCAATTCCCTGCTGCACAGTGCACAGATGATGTTCTGTGATGGGTGCACAACGGAAAGAAGCTAGCGAGCGATGTTGAGTTTAGCTCTGGCCCAGGAAAGGGGGCGCACGATCCCAAACGATGCAAAATAACTGGAACGCATGCTACCTACAACTGGAACCAAAATCGCCAGCCCCAAACTCCTAAACTCTATAAACCCCGGACCCCAGCTTGAAGATCGGGCCTTTTGCACCATATCCCGAAGACGCTGAACAGTTGTGGAAGCCTGTGGAGCAAGAAGTTCCGGTCTTCAACTTCTCGAAGATACATAGAACATCTGCACAATGAGGAATCGGAGGGTGCACGGCAGAGCAGCCGTCGTTTAAATCTAGGAACGCCACTAGGGTTGCTGCTAGCAGTTCTGTTGATGAAGGAACAGTATTGATTGCGTAAATCAAGGAGCATATGTTGGTCAAAAGCTTTTGTCGATTCAGACGAACAGAACCACGTCCCTCGTGAACCATGGCTCTCAGTTCATGGTTAAAACCTGAACCGTTGCAGTCATCCTCGAATACAGAACGCCTTAACAGTTTGAAGAGAGTTTTGGTATCTGTTAGGGCATGTTTTGCTTCTATTCAGGAACCCCAAGGAATAGTGCTACTAATTGTGACTATTCAGGCTTCGATATCAATTATATACCTGCATCTCATCTCCGGATTTTCAATTCAAACCAGAATCTTCCAGAGGGCAAAGGATTCGATCAGGGTCCATGGAGTCCTTGGACCATACATCGCGAGGACAAAAGTGTTGACCTGTTGGACCTTTCTCGTCTTGAGACCTCTTGCCGGTAGCAGAGTGCGCTCCAAAATTACATGGCCTGGCTACGCAAAATACTGCGTCCGCTCTTGCTGAATGGACTGCGATGAGTCTTGCCGTCGATATGTGAGAGCATCACCAATCCTAAGATCCGTAATTACTTCTGCTGAGATGTGAATAGCATGCGCTGGCATTGTTCAACTTCTTACCTTTGCCACGATACTTAATACACTACCACAATACACCACAACGACCACAGAATCCTGTAATGGCTAGCATTCTTAACCCCTTTCTTGCCTTGTGTAGTAACCGCAGTAATTACGACTTCCGTAGCACACCTTGCTTCTGGTATCCACAGTTCAAGTCACATATAGCATGGACTATACAAGCTACTAACTACTAGTATGGCCCAACCCGAAACCCATAAACCCTAATTGAACTTAACCCCTAAACTCCAAAACTCTAAACCCTAAGCCCGAAACCCTATACCCTAACCCTAAGCCCGAAAACCCTAAACCCCCTAACCCCTAGAACCCAAAACCCAAACCCTCAACCCTAAAAACCCGAAACCCTCTAACCCCTAGAACCCTAAAGCCCTAAACCCTAGAACCCCTTGAGCCCCTAAACTTCAAAGAAACAGCTTTCCGGCCTCCACGCCCTCCAGGCTCCGAAGGACCGAAGCCCCCTGAGCCGCACTGCTTTGGGTTTCGGGGGTTTAGGTTTTAGGGTTTAGGGTTTAGGGGTTTAGGGGGTTTAGGGGTTTAGAGGTTTAGCGGGTTTCGGGCTTAGTAGTTTAGGGTTTGGGGGGTTTAGGGTTTATGGGTTTTAGGGGGTTTGGGGGTTCAGGGGACTTGGAGTCTTGCAGCTCGGAGACCTCTTTCGATGGAACCAGCTTAGATCCAGGGCTAACGTAGGGGCCTTAAGAGTTAGAATAGGGTTTTGGGCGCTCTTTACTATGATTATCGTATAATTACTACACCCTAAAACCCCATTCTAACTATTAAGGCCCCTATATTACATCCTTGGCCGTGACGGGAGGACTCCCCGATGATCGTCACGCGAACGTTACCTCTGAAGCGACATCACAGACTTATATGACACAAATAACAGCAAGCGCGATCGTGCGAGCAGCAGCACGTCTACTACGAAATTATGCAGACATAACTTTGCCATGCCCGAAATGATACACCCCCTGACATGTAGAACTCAGAACTTGCAGCTGTAGAATTTCGCAACAGCATGTCCATTCTTTAACTGGGCTAACAAGTCCATGGCCTTCTGTTTGTGAGTTAGGGGCTTCGGCTGCTGCCGGCCTCATCTTTTTGGATTTTTGTTTTGGGGCGTTACGGGTTTACAATGACTCCCCCCAGTGCTAGACGCTATAAACCGTAATCCTAAAAGCCCGAAATCCTAAACCCTTAGCCCTGGTTAAACCCAAATAATTAGAATGGGCTGTTGGGGAATATTATACTATACTTATA